ATCATCATCATCAGCATCATCATCATCATCACCATAATCATCATCATCAGCATCAGCATCAGCATCATCATCAGCATCTGCATCATCAGCATCATCATCAGCATCATCATCATCACCAGCATCATCATAATCATCATCATCATCATCATCAGCATCAGCATCAACATCATTATCATCATCAGCATCATCACCATCGTCATCATCAGCAGAATCAGCAGCAGCAGCATCATCATCACCATCATCAGCATCCACAACAACAGCATTATCATCATCGTCCTCATCACCATCAGCGTCATCACCTTAATCATGATCAGCATCATCATCATCATCATCATGATCATCATCATCATCATCATCATCATCATCATCATCACCATCATCGTCAGGATCAGCATCATCAGCAGCAGCATCATCACCTTCATCATCAGCATCAGAAGAATAATCATCAACAGCATCATCATCAGCAGCATCATCAGCAGCAGCAGAAGAAGCAACATCAGCATAAGTATCAACATCAGCGTCATCATCAGCAGCAGCATCATTATCATCACCACCACCACAACCACAACCACAACCATCAGCATCGGCATCATCATCAACGGCATCAGCATCATCATCAGCATCATCAGCATCATCATCACAAGTATCATCATGAGCAGCATCATCAGCATCAGCATCCGCATCAGCATCACTATCATTATCATCATCGTCATCAGCATCATCATCATCATCATCACCAGCATAATCATCAGCATCATCATCAGCATCATCAGCATCATCATCGTCATCATCATTAACATCAGCACAATCAGCATCGTCGTCATCATCAGCATCATCAGCAGCAGCATCATAATCAGCATCAGCATCAGCATCATCAGAATCAGCATTTCCATCAGCAGCATCATCATCCTCAACAGAATCGGCATCGTCATCGTCATCGTCATCAGCATCAGCATTAGCATCAGCATCAGCATCATCGTGATCAGTTTTAGCATCATCATTGTCCACCCTCCCTCTCCCTCCTCCTCCTTGCTATCCCTTCTCCCTCCTACTACCTCTTCCTGCCTCATCGTTAGAGGCCTCTCCCGTCCATCCTTGGCTACACGTAAGAGTGACCCTAGGCAAGAGTGACCTGTGGTGCGCGACTTTAGAGGGCCACGGGGAGGCCAAACCCGAGCGCAAGCCGCTGCTATGGCATCGCATTCAGCCATGTGGTGAACCCCTTGTGCCCGCCCCAGAGGTCATTCCTGCGAAAGGTCACTCTTACGTATAGCCGATTATCCAGGCCGCCGACGTGAGGATTCTTTCGTGACGTAGACCCCCAGCGGTATTGACCCATTCCCTGGGACTGACTGGCTTTTCATCCTGCGTGGTTTGTTGACGGTCCTGGGGCCTGGCGAGGGCCCCCAGGACGAAAGTAGGGAAAACCTGCCCTTTTGATTTCTCATGACTCACAGGGGGTCTGAGACCAATGCCCCCCGTCTCCCTCATCCTCCTGTGCGCTGCGCCCCAGGTGCCCTCCCCCCCCCCAGCGCCGGCGCCGGCCTGCGCCGCTGGGCGCCTGGGCAGGAGGGCGCGAGGAGAGAGGAGGTGGGGGGGGAAGGAGGGAAGGAGAAGGAGCAGGAGGGATGGAAAGGAAGGACGGAGGGAGGGATGGAGGACGAGGACGAAGAAGAAGAAGGGGGAGGGAGGGAGGGGCGGGAGGGAAACGAGGGAGTAAAAAGCAGAGGAAGGATGGAGAGAACCCCCTCTGCGTCCTCCCCCCTCCCTCTTCCTCCTCCTCTTTCTCCTCCTCCTCCTCCTCCTCCTCCTCCTTGTCTCTTCCGCGGATACACAGAAAATGGAGAAAGGAGTGCGGAGGAGGGTCCACAAAGTGGGGAGGGGCGGGGCGTCAGGAGGGGAAGGGGGCGGGAGAGGGAAAAGGAGGAGGAGGAGGAGAAACAGAAAGAGAGTGTGAGAGAGGAAGAGCAAGACGAAGGCGAAGGCGAAGACGAAGACGAAGACGAAGACAGAGAAGAAGACGAAGACGGAGGATGGGAAACAGGAAAAGGCGGAAAAGGAGATGAGAAGGGGGAGGGGGGAGGAAGGAGGAGGAGAGGGGGGGACTCTCCCTCCTTCTGTCCTTCTCTCCGCATTTTCTCTCACCTCCCTCCTCTGGGAGGGGAGAGACGACATGGAGGATGGGGGAGGGGGACCCTCGGCCGCCGAGGGAGGCCGACGACGACGACGACGGCGAGGGCGACGACGACGCCGCCGACGACGAGCACGCCGACGACGACGACGACGACGCCGACGACGACGACGCCGACGACGACACCGACGCCGACGACGACGACGACGACGCCGAGCCTGCTGCGGCCGCTGGGCCTCTGCGGCCTCTTCCCCAGGCCGCTCCGCGAGGCGGGAGGCCTCGCGAGGCCCCGCGCGGCAGGCCATCCCCCCCAGGAGACGGCCGCTGCGGGACGGCCGGCACCCCGGGGACCCGCCGGCCAAAAACGCTGCGGCGGCGCGCGGCGGCGCGCGACGACGACGACGACGACGACGACGACGACGACGACGACGACGACGACGGCGACGACGGCGACGGCGACGACGACGTCGACGAGGTCGAGGTCGATGACGAGATCAAGGGCGACGAGGACGAGGTGGAGGACGGAGAAGGCCGGGCGCGAGTGCGGGGGTAGAGTAATGGGGAGAAGGTAGGATCAGTCAGCATCGAATCGGCAAGTCGGGTCGAATCGAAATGTGCGTCGGATTGGGCTGCATCGGCACGGAGTCGGAATCGAATCGGATCGGACGCCGAAGTATGCACAGCAGCACCATGCGAACATCAGGCCACATCGGATCCTCTAAGTATCGGAATCAAATCGGATCGGCCTGGCAAAAACCGACATCAATCGGATCGATCGGATCGAAATACACCCTCCGCGTTGCAACGCGCTGCCTCGAGCGTACAGCAACGGGGGGATGATACACACGGGGGGTCGAGGACTGTAGGGAAGTGCCTGGAGAGTGGTCGTATAGTGAGCGTTTTCTTCATCCGCGTCTCGACATTGGACGGAAAGGGGGGGAAAGAGGGGGTCTGGCTCCAGACCTCTGCTCAGTGCGACTGCCTGGAACAATGATCCCTTGAGGAGTCCTGTGGGGAGCCGTCCACCTGCTCGAAACAGGCGCCCACAACAGCCAAGATCTCCTCCATCGGGGGGGGGGTGCGAGGGGGCCCGCGCCGATCGGCAACAAAAATGAATGAGGAAACGATGACAACTAGGCGAGGGAGCCGGGAGCCCCTGGGGGAGGACGAGAGGGGGGGGGCGTTGCGAATCGCGGGGCTCTGCTCTTTCCTTCTGCGCTGTGCGGGCACTGGGTGCTGTGAGCTGCGTCATGACGGTGCGAGGCCTGAAGGTATAAGACAAGCGCCGATGTAGGCCTGGGCATACAAATTCAGAGAGCCGCCAGTGCAGATGTGGAAGTGTGGCTCTCCTCATTCCTGCTCCCTCCCCCATCTACGTCTGCGCGGACTTGGCCAACCGCGGCGGCTTCAAGGAGGTGGAGGGAAGGACGAGGGAGCGAGGTCCAATCAGTCAAACGGTGTCTCGGTCCCCTCTTTCACAATTTCGACTTGCCTTACCCCTCGATCAAGGTTTGGGGGATAAGATGAACCCGCATTGCGGGCGCCTTTGGGTATGGGGCTACATATAGCTCTGTACCCCCCTGGATGTCAAGGTCGTGCACCTTGCTTTCGCCGAAGGCCGATCCGATCCGATCCCCCCCCACCCCTGGAAGCACAAGATCGATCCCAGCGCACGCGCGCGGGTGCCGACAGACTCTTCACCATGAGCATCGGGGCGGCGGGCGGCGCTAGAGACCTACGAGGAGGACCACGAAAGAAGAATCTGAGCCCTGAGCGCCGGACCGCCAGTCGGGGAGACCAATGGCCCCGCCATCGTCATCGTCATCGTCATCGTCGTCGTCGTGATCATCATCACTCCACTCCTCCTCCTCCTTCTCCACCTCCGCCTCATCCTTTTCCTCCTCCTCCTCCTCCTCCTCCTCCTCCTCCTCCTCCTCCTCCTCCTCCTCCTCATCCTCCTCCTCCTCCTCCTACTCCTCCTCCTCCTCCTCCTCCTCCTCCTCCTCCTCCTCCTCCTCTTCCTCCTCCTCCTCCTCCTCCTCCTCTTCCTCCTCCTCCTCGTCGGTGGGGACGGGTGGTGACCTTGCGTGGTGGGGCGACGGGAAGAGGGCGGCAAGGTCTTTCAGGGGCAGGCAGGGGGGGCGGGAGAGGCGGAGGCGGAGGTGGGAAGGGGGGAGGGGGAAAGAGAGGGCGACAGGAGCGGAGGAGGCAGTGCAAGGGGGAGTGGGGGGCGGAAATCACGAAAGGAGGGGGGGGAGGAAGAGAAGGAGGATCAAGTGACGGCCGCCGCCGTCGAAGACTTTTCAGGTGTGAACCCGCGCGCTCAAAAGCTTTTCGGAGCTAGAACGGTTATGGAACCAGGCGCGTCAACGGCGGCAGCTGGCTACCGGGGCCTCCTGAGGCCCGACACACATCACTAGGCCCCCGGGGCCGAACTACATTTGGGCCCGCCATGCCCAACATGGAAAAGAGGGGGCGATCGTAGTGCATTTCAACACCCGTCCTGGATCGTCTGGTTACACTAGCTGGCCGCACGGCCAGTAAAACAAGGATTGTTGCTGCCTGCCATCACACTCCCCGTTCCGCCCATCCGGCGGCTCCGTTGACTACCTGCTGGGTAGCTCCTGCTCTCGTAGTTCGCGAGGGCTCTGTCCTCGTCGTCGCTCCTGGATTCCACCTTGATCGCCACACCGTCGTCCTCCAGGTTGCCCTTCACTTCCTTCATGCGCTTCTCGTCGGCACGCGTGCGCCTCGCGTGTCTGATCGCCTTCTTGGTCACCGCGGCCTGGGCACTGACCTCCACGCTCGCGAGCCCATTCTGCATCACGTCCGTCAAGTAGCCTTTCACGGCGTCCAGCTCAGTCAGCGCGTCGGCCAGCTGCACCGATGCGTCGCACCACTCCAAGTCAACCCCATCTTGGGACAGTAGCTCGGGAAGCGCCCCGATGACCACCCGAACTCGGCAACCTGCAACATGCCCTGCATCAGCCAGGAGATGAGAAAACCAAGCTGTTGGCGTCGCCATACCACTTCACCAATATCAAAGTCGCCACGCCCACGACGAGGTCGCCCAGCGGCTGGTTTGGAGCGCTCATCTCGTAGTGCAGTGCCCTGATACACTCCAGCGCCCCAGCTCCTTCCGTGAGTCCGCGGGGTTCGGCCCCCATGGACGCTCTGCAATCCATCTTAATCCGAGAACTACCCCAGTCGAGGATGTGCGCCGATCCCTCCTAGTCACCGCACAAGCCGTCGTCCATAATCAAGCACGCGAACCCGAGCTGTAATCTCACCTTCTCGCCGAGGCGATGTCGTCCGAAGGTAACGTCGTCCACGTCGCTGAGGCTGCTGTCCGCGAACACGACTCCACGGAGATCTCCATCGCCATGTAGCACGTCAATCCGGATGAGCATGCATGTGTCACGCGTCTCCTTGCTGTACTTCAAAAGCTTGTTCATCTCCACACCAGGTGATGCACCGTGAACTGGCTCTTGCATTGTGCCAGCCAGCTGCAGCCGAAAGAGACGCCCATCCGAAGCTGCCGAGACAGCCAGCCAAGCGAACCAATCACCGACTCGGCGTAGCTCACCTCCTCGTCCGTAGCCACAGCCACGACCGGCTTCGCGCGGGCTGGCAGTAGCTCGATTGGCCATGCCGATCTTGATAGAGAAGTCCGCGGCCTGGTCCACGCCCTTCCCGCGGTACCTGAATGGCGGCTTCCCTTGATGCACTCAGTTCGAGCTGTAGCCTGCTCCATCTCCTCCGACTCCCCCTCGTTATTCCTTCTCCTCCTCCTTCTTCTCCTCCTACCCCTTCTCGATATTCTCCTCCTCCTCCTAGTTCGCCTCCTTATCCTCCTCCTCCTCCTCCTGCTCCTCCTTCACTCTCTCCTTCTCCTCCTTCTCCTCTTTCTCCTCCATCTGATCCTTCTCCTCTTTATTATCTTCCTCCTCCTCTTTCATCTCCTCACCCTCCTCCTCGTCATCATCATCGCCCCCCTTCTTCCCTCCACCTTCCCCCTCCTGCTCGTCATCCTTCTCCTCTCCTCCTCCTGCTCCTTCCCCCCCCCCTCAGCCTCCCCCACCTGCTTCTCTTCCTCACTCCATCTTATCCTCCACGTCCTCTCCCATGAGGCCGCACCTTCGCGCGCGCAGAATGCGAGATTGCCGCGCCCGCATCCCATTCATGCACATCGCAAGGAAACTCTACGAGTTCCCGGCGGCAACCAAGGTTGACGGTTCACCGCCGGCCCCCAGTTTGGCACAGTCTTCGTCGGTTGAAAACCATGTCCTCGAAATCTGAATATTCGCTAGAGCTCTTATCTTTCCCCCCAATATTCGATCTCATTCCCGATCGCCATCTTAATATCAGGTCGATCGGGCACATACTACTGCAAAAAAGAATGTGGGCGGGATCGGCTGTTTAGTATCATCTTGGCAGGTGCTGAAGGTTTTCTTAACTTAGCTCGAGCTGCACAACAGCTATGGAGCTGACAGGCAGACCTAAACTCTAGGATGAGCAGGCGCGCTGTTCACAAGTATCTAGATGTTCGACCTCGGTCTGCCACCAGGGCAGGGACCGACAAACTATTCGCACTCTCCAATATGCGTTTAAGACATAATGCTGATTTAATGATTTTCTTAATGCAACACGAGCTTCAGATAATCTGCAGAGCTGCTGGGCACAGCAGTGGGAAGTTACTGATGGCACGCACTAGTTACAAGTATCTAGATGCCTGAACGCGGTCTGCTACCAGATCTGGAATCCAAGACCTATTCGAAGTCTATTCATTTGTTTCAGAGATGATGATGATTTTCGAGACTTAAATCGAGCTGCAGATGAGCTACTGGGAGCCGGCGGCAAACCGTGAACCTTGTTTTTTTTGGGGGGGATGTTCCAGGCATCGGGATGGCTACCCAGGTCCCAGGACGGGAACGCCAGCGAGGACCCTTAAGGTCCCCAGCTGATCGAGCGCCGTCTCCATGGCCTCAGTGAGACCTTCTACAGCCGAGAGCTCAGCATCAGTAATGGTACAAGAGGGCGGGAGCGCGGCAGCGCATTGACCGACATCACGCCAGTCATTCGGGAAAGAACTAGGTGCTTGCGTGTGAGAGGAGGGGAAGGAGGAGGAACGTGCACGCTTACTCACATGAACATGCTCCACAGAGAAGTTATCCGCGTGAGAGTGCACAGGAGGAACCAACCCAACCTGTAACCACCATCCGAAACCCACTCCAGACTCATCCACTCCGCCGTCGAATTTACCGCGGAGGTCAATCGCTTGCCAGGTATTGCGTTGAGAGGAGGGGTACGCTGTGCATACATCGACATATTGAAGACAGTCACCATTACAAGCACGATGCGTTAGCTCG